GGTAAGTCGCTTGTCTATACAGATAAATAAAATTAAAGTGTCTGTTTCTAATGTTAAAATAACAGCTTTTTACTTAATACATATGAAAGTATATACGGTATTGATAAGAAAAATATGAAACTTTTGTCTGTCTGTTTATTCCAGCTAATCTCCGAAATGTCTAGGCCGATTTTGACGGCACTTACACTGGCAGATAGCTGATGTTATAAGGAGTAACAAAGGCTACTTTAATTTTAGAAAAATCAGAGTCCTCACAAACATATTGAAAAAGTAACCTCATGAAACTGATAAAAACCGCGTACCCAGGGAAGCGAGAGAAGCGAGGGTATTTCGATAGTTTTCAATAAGATGTACCTACTATATTACAACGACACGTTTGGCTCAGTTTGTAGTAACCCTACTTGCTGTGCCAGCGACCGCGGGTTCGAGTCCCGCTGGGGGTATTCATTCGTGTGATGAGCACGAATGTTTGGACTTCAGTCATGATTGTTTATATTTATAATATGTATGTATTTAAAGTTATATATGTGTAGTGTATCATCTATCTGGTATCCATAAGACAAGCCTCGTAGCTTACCATGGAACTAGATGGTGCGGTGTGTTAATGTCCCAACATATTAATTTATTATGTAATAGTATACTAACATTTGACTGTAGCTACGCTTATGTGTAACGTCAATAATAATAAACTATGTTTCTTAAAATAGGTTTTTTTAATTTTAAAATCATGTTAAACAGACTTTGGAAATTTTATATAAAAACCTAAATAAAAACTGTTATTTTTAATGGCATGTTCTGTTTTTGTGCTGCTTGGTGAAACTATTCACCAAGTCTTTTTTACTTTTAAGGCTTTTATGTCAATCATGATTCAGCGAATTCAAAGAACCTAGTAAGAAGTTGCTACATATGCAGGACGTATAACATAATCTATTTATATCAAAAGCCAAGCACAGTATTGACTCTTACTTGAAAATTGTTAATAAACATAGAACGTAAAGTAATCCACATCAAAATAATTTTCCTTATAAATAAACTAAATAAATGGAAGGATTTGCGACTTTTTGTTTTGACGGTTTTACTGTTGAGTTAGATTGTTTCTGTTATTGTTGCCAACACATATTTTTCACCTATCTTCATGTATTTGGTAGAATTTATTCTAAGGATGAACTAATGTTATTATTAATAGGATATGCTTGCATTCAAATATTTGCCAATACCTAGGCACATGATAATATTAGTATTATATGTAAAATATTACGGTCTTATATCAAATATTAGATATAGTACGAGTACATTGTAAATTTCGAAATGATATATACGCATGACATACAATTTTCAACAAGCTTTTACGCTCCATTTACCTCTTTGAGGGATGATTTTGATGAAAATTTTCAGTAGGTACATTTATATATTTCTACTTAGCACAATAAAATGTTATCTTATATTATATTTATATTGCTTATATTTCTAGGTCAGATTACTGTTTTATTTTATTTATAAACACGATGAATTACATCTCATAAATTATATACACAACTGCTACGTGAAAAAAGCGTAGAAGGTGAAGTAACATCTATAAACTATACTCTATGACTATTAGACAAGGAAAACTAGATGCTAATCGACAAATGATAAATTCCGTGTCGAACTTACGAAGGAGGATTCCGCACATTATTGGATTTAAAATGAATTTAAATATTTAGTTTTTTTTTTCAGCAAGTATAAAGTCACCACCTATTTTTTGAGAAAAGTAATGTTAAAATCGAACTCATATTACCATGGTATCCGTAGTAAGTTTATTTTTAATTAATAATATTGCTATTTTTATTTATTTATTTATTTATTTATTTAGGTTTACCAACAATTGTTTACACGGTTTATATAATTAGTATACAATCTTAGATGTTCTTGTAATAGTGTAACAATTACTTAAAGGTAAACTCCACATGCAAATTGATTATAATGATAACAAAGAAGTCAGTAAAAATAATGCCTAACTTTCACAAAAATTAACTTAACCATACCATACCAAGAAACGCAACATTAGATTGTTATTCTTTTATATAATTAACAACAGATTTGTAAAATTTAGCAGCGGAATCATGATATAGATCGATGCTACCGCTACAAATGTTAATAATTTCACATAATCTTGCATAGGGGGAGTTGGAACCTAAAATGGTTCTACTTAGGGGTGGGCAAAGTGGCGTAATGGGTTGACGAGGAATTCTAGATGGGACTCTTAACTTAAAAAACTGTAACAAGTGTGGAGAATCGATATGATTGTTTATAATCTTATATACAAACATTGCATCAGTTATTGTTCTACGCGTTGATAGGGAGACCATGTTAAAATGATCTAAACGACTTTTATATGATTTTACTCTTTTATGTATGCCTACAGAATATGATAAATGCCAGAGAAAACGTTTCTGTATGCGTTCAAGACGGAGTGTGTGTGTAGCATAGTGAGGACGCCAAACTACACTACAATATTCTAAAATACTTCTAATTAAAGTGTTATAAAGTAATATTTTTGTTTTTATGTGTTTAAAAGATTTGCAGTTCCTTAAAACAAATCCTAGCATTCTAGAGGCTCTTTGAATTATATCATCCATATGCGTACTAAAATATAATTTCTGATCATATAGTACACCAAGATCACGCATACTAGTCGTTTCTTCAATTTTTACATTTTTAATATAGTATTCCGATACAATGTTATTATATTTCCTACTAAATTTCATATACAGACATTTCTTAGGGTTCAGGTGCATTTTATTATCATCGCACCATCTAACTAGTGCGTCTAGGTCCCTCTGCAAAAGCCTAGTATCATCAACAGATCGGATTACTCTAACAAACTTCAAATCATCGGCATACATGAAAACCTCAGAAAAAAGGAAACAATCAGGAATATCATTAATAAAATAATTAAACAGTAATGGACCCAAATGTGATCCTTGGGGAACACCAGAAGAAATTTCATGAGTAGAAGATTGATATCCATTCACTGCAACATAAAAAGACCTGTCTTTTAGATATGACTGTAGCCATTTCAATAAAGATCCTGATATTCCGTAGGCTCGTAACTTATAAAGAAGAATTTCATGGGAAACTTTATCAAAGGCCTTGCTGAAATCAGTATAGAGTACATCGGCCTCAAAGCCAGAATCAACTGCTCTAACCAATAACTCAGTAAAGGGGACCAAATTAGATTCTGTAGACCGATATTTAACAAAACCATGCTGACGATCACTCAGATATAGTTTTAGATGTTTATAAAAGTATGTATAAATTAATGATTCAAATATTTTTGCAAAAGCTGACAAAATAGAAATGGGTCTATAGTTACAGACGTTTTCGTTGTTCGAAGACTTGTGAACCGGTACTACCTTAGCACTTTTCCATATCAACGGAAAAAACACCAGAAGCCAAAGAGTTATTGTAAATTAATTTTAGTGGATAGACCAGTTCAGAGGCACATGAAGCAATAAAGATAGGCGGTATTAAGTCAGGCCCTGCCCCCTTTTTGCAGTTTAAATGCTTTAATTTATCCAATAATTCATTTTGACCTATTTCTGATACAACAAGATTGTGACTATTTTGCTCTATGGATTTCAAGTACTTGTATTCATATCCTGCATATTTACTATCATCCTTGGAGAATACCGATGAGAAGTATTTAGCAAACAATTCGCAAATTTGGGCACCGTCCGAGGTAGACGTAACCCCATCCGAAATCCTATGAGGATAGGTACTAGTTCCGTTGCGTTTTACTTTAAGATAGGTCCAAAACGAATCTGGATCTTTTAAAATGTTTTCTTCAATATTACTTATGTACTTGTGATAACAATCTACTGCTAACCTATCACAACGTTTACGAAGTAAGTTTAGTTCAATACGGTCACGCGGGTTTTGGTATATATTATAGCGCATACGGATCTTATTCTTTTCTTTTAACGCCTTAGTAAGCTTATAAGTAAACCACGGTGGGTGTTTTTGATTCTTAGGTCTGCATAATGGTACGTATTTTGTAATCGCTTCACGTAGCTTATTGTAAAAAATCTCTAGCATATCATTTACTTCACTAATTCCGGAAAATAAATCCTCCCAATTTAGATCTCCCAAATATTCACGAATCAACACATAATTAGCTTTATAGAAGTTATGTCTTTGTACAGTGTTATAAGATAACTTTAATTCACTATCCAAACATATTGTTATATCTAACGGTGGGTGTAATATATCAACGATACTAAAAGGATTTATACTTTCTTTAACATTACATGATTTATTGGACAATACTAGGTCTAGTGTCCTGCCAGCGGAGTTAGTGATGTCATTGTATTGATTTAGATTATTAATATTTGTAAAATCAATCATAGTTTTACTAGTGTTTTTAGAAGCTCGAGTATTGCTTGTTACATTTAATGACTTCCAATCAAGTGTTCCTAAATTAAAATCACCGATTATACATACATTCATATCCAAGTTTTTTTCAAAGACAGCATTACAATTATCTAAAAAATAATCCAAAGTTGAAGGACTAACAGGTGGTGGTAGATAAATTGCACAAAGAACAATTTTAAAAATACCATGCATAACTGGGATATCTATCATCACCCATAGATTCTCGCAATCGCTTTCCCATTCCATTAGACGCCTAGAATTAAACTTCTTATTAACAGCTATCAATACTCCACCGCCTTCTCTGCCACGCCCATATAATACACTTTCTCTATCTCTTCTATAAACAACGTACCTATCATCGAATAGTTCACTATTAAGCACTGAGTTATTAAGCCACGTTTCGCATATAACAATAACATCATAATTATGACAGCAAACGTTACGGTAAAAGTCGAGTGTTTTCGTTTTTAAGCCTCGACTATTTTGATAATATAACTGGAGACAATTGAATTTGAATAAAAATAGTGACTATGACATGCATTATAAACTTAAAAATAATGAAGACAACATAGGAAATGCAAATTTTAGGCTAATTTTTTTAAGGTATCCAAATCTTTTTCCTTTATTTCATGTCCGACAGCTGTACATAAGGCCTTCGCGATAGTGTATAGGTTTTCGCTTTTCTTTTCAGGGACGCATTGGATTTCAATGTTGTTTGAACGAGACTGCTGTTCCAAGTAATTCAGACGTTGTGTTAAATCTGCCACTGTGCTTTCCAACTTTTTGTTATCTTCCTGTATATTTTTTAGGAGTTTATTCGCGTTTAATTGGTCGGCTTCGATCAATTCGAATTTGCTGTTGATAAAAGTCATAGACTCGTTCATATCCCTTATTTCTTTTTTAATTGGTGTCAATTCCTTATTTATTATGTCGAGCATACTGCACTTTAGCTTTTCCATCATAGCACTCAACTCAGTCTTTACTACGTCTTCAACAATAGCACGTACTCTGTCACTGGTTAAGCTGTGTTCTTCTGGTGGTGAGTTCAGTGCAGGCCTCTTGTTGCCTCGTGTTGTGGAGATATTACGAACAGGGGTAGAATCCTTTTTAGACGTTTTAGGCATCCGATTCAAACACGAAGGACATTTCCATTTATTATAAATGTCTGTATTTGATTGTATTTCTGGTATCGACAAACACAAAAAGTGAAAGGATTTTTTGCAGCTGTTACAAGTTATGAATCTTTCGTTATCATCTTTGTCTTCTTGAGAACAACATCCCCAATTTACTAATTTTAAGGACATATTTATTTATTCAATTTATGTTACTAATCAATTAATTATTTTTTATTTTCTGTACTTTAATTATTGTTTTAGGGGCGTTATCAATCCGAGATCCCAGGTTACTATTATTAATAATATTTTAAATTTTAATCTCTTTACAGCCCAAAAGGTAAAAATCACAATAGATTGTTTCCAACGATTTAGCGATTATTATAAAACTTTGCACGGTAGGCCACTGTAGTTCGTTCCGTCGCGTCGATGAGGACTGCACTCGCGAGAAAAATGTCGTAAGCGCCGTGCAGAACGCGTCGCTTACGCGTTATGAACAACAGGTTTGTAAAAACTTAAGTTGACAGTGAACAGATTTAATTATTTAGTTATTTATGATATAAAACACACAATTAACACATTAAAAGTTGCTAACAGATTATATAGTCCTTTAAGCATATCCAGAAAAGTAAACAAACTTTAATACACTCAAGTTAAACACAGTTTTACACAAGTTTTTGAGGAGCAAGAATTAAACGATGTTAACAGTTTACTGACTTCGATACTATGATATATTTTAGATAATATTATGACATAGCGATATATGTATATTATGTAATTAAAATTCAATAGTTATATTAAAATAAATAAATACAATTTTCCATTTGCAATTAAACATTCACAAAGCACAGGAAACAATTATATTTAAATATTTTTATACTGCAATAATAAAGTGCGGGGTCAACGCAGCGTTACGTTGCACATTTACATTTTACAGTTTTAATAAGAGTTCCGTAGCTAAAAGACAAAAACAGAATCAAGTCTCGTCATGTCCGACTGTTCGTATGTTCGTACATTACACTAATCTTGCTCAGAAATTAAACTTTATTCAATTAGACTTATTACAAGCACTTTTTAAATCGTTCATTTAAATAGCGTCAGTTTTGTTAGTCTGTGAGGAAGATGTTACCGGCTCGGAAAGTAGTTCTGCTGAGAAGAGCAGGCGAGAAACTCAACAATTGCTCTTTTATATATCGAAGTTACATTTATTTATTTTATTAACATAACAAAATATTTAATCTTTTTTAATTCCACACATTTCCATCAACGAAAAGCTCTTGAACAGATTAATACGCTTTGCTCAATAGGTCAGAAATCAGGTACATATGCATATTAGTAGAACTGTAAGGAAGGTTTTTTATAGTGTTCAGTGACAAATAAGCAGACAGACCACCTAATGGAAAGCAGTACGTGTCGCCCATAACACCTACGGTTAATGCACTTAGGTTTTATGTGACAAAATGCAGAACCGCAGGTGCGTTGTCACTGTGAGGACTAAGATGATATTATCCTTCAAACCGGAACACAACGTGTAATCATTGTTGCTTGGCGGAAGAAATAGATAAGGGGGTGGTACCCATCCAGTTGGACTTCTCAGGCTTGACAGAGTCCTACTACCGGTGAAAACGTACGTTTCTTATTAGAACTGCTATATTATAGTTAATTTAGGCGTGTCAGTTAATAATAGATTTCTTAGAATTTTAATTAATTTCTTAGAAATTTACCTAGAGGTATTAAGCTTTAAAGTGAATATTGTAGATTATAAAATTTGTTTTACGTTTAACCCAACAAATTACGTAAGTTAAAACCACATATTAATCTACGGAACCCTCGGTGCGTAAGTCAGACTCGCACTTGTCCGATTTTTTAAAATTATTAAAAGTTGATTCAAAATTTTCGAATCTCTTTGAGCTGACTTATTCTTCACTTTGGATGTGAAATCGAATACATTTTCTTTACGACCGACTTTTAGCCTTAACATTGAGAAATACCCGGCATTGGCATAAATCCCTAAAGATTGAGCACAATTTCCCAAATAGCTGTCTGTGATATAGTCATTATCTACAATTCTGAATGTTTAAGTCAAATATAGTATTTTCTAAAGAGGATCATTTTATAAAGTTGCAAAGTGTTTAGAACTTTACCACATCGTGGTAGGATTCAATTTGATTTCTTTCATTGGGAAAGTGGAAACGATTATGTAAATACTATTGTAATGACGTTATGATAGTCTTGATACGAGGGTAATGTATAGGATGATATTATGCTCTCGAAATTTTCACTATGAATGTGAAAATATAGTACAAAATTAATTTTAAAAGATATGAGTTAGTCTGTCTTTGCGTATCGCAAAACCTGGAAACGTAGAGAGGAGGCCTTTGCCCAGAAGTGGGATGATTTGGGTTAACTATAACGTTATACAAGATATGTGTGTATTGAAATGCATTTTATTTGTTTAAATTCATTTTTAATAATAATAATAATTTTAATTCAAGATATTACCATATTATCCATATTTGTTAGTAATATAACAATTTAGCCTTAAATACTATATTCGTGTGTGAAATTATGTATTAATTAATTTATTCATTTTTATATTTTATATTGATTTAATTATAATAAATAATTATCCTAATTTAAATAAAAAAATAAATAATTTAATACATTATTAATTAGTTCGAATCATTAAGTAAACTTATAAAAAAAAGTAATATAATTATATTAATTTATAATATTTTTAATACTTATAATAATATTGCTGATATTGTAAGCGATCATGTTAACTTCAAAATATATAATACCATGGGAAAAAGTGCCACTCGTAAATCCGCGGGAATTTCATATTTTGAAAAGATTTTCCCAATAAATTAGCAGTAGCCATGCGTATATATAATAATACTAGCGGAAATGCAAAACAAAAGGAAATCTATCCTTTGGGAACCGTATATTTTTCCAGAATAAAAGTAGCCTATATGTTATTCCAGACTATAATCTTTGTGCCAAATTTCATCCAGATCCGTTCAGCCGTTCTGGCGTGAAAGAGTAACATACACCCATACATAATCAAGCATTTCAATTGACATTTATTTAGTTTATTTTTTGTTATATTATCCTTTTTCATTTTTAAAAATAAATAGTAGGTAGCACGTATAATATTTTCTAAGATAAGGTTATTGTGCTAAATTTTAGGTTCTCATTGAATAGAAATAAACAGCCACTCATTCCCATTGCAGGAGTAATGGTCCTTTGTGAGCGTGCTTGCTTTGAAAACAAAGTGAAGCAGGTTCAAACCCCGAATCTCGCACCTGTAAGATTTTCAAGAACGAATAACACGTTTAACATAATAATATTATTTTTGCTAGCATAGTAAAGGAAAATATCGTGATGGAACCTAATGTCTGTGAGAGCGTAACATATTTTCCAAAGACGCGTAGAGTTTGTCAACCTGCATTCAGCGATTATGGTAGACAGTGGCTTAATCCTCCTTATATTGAGAGAGGGCCTGGACTCAGCTCTAGAACTTTAAAAGACCTGAATTATATATTTTCATAGTAGCACTAAATGTTCTACTATAGATATTACTTTTGAGATAAGATATATGCACTTAATTTATGGAAGACAAGTTTCTGTAAAAAAACCTACTTGACGTCATACATATTTCAATTCATTTTCAAACAAAATTTTCATTTAAAATTCCTATTTTATACAAATAAAGGAATATGTTGATCTGTAATTAAAATACTAATAATATATTTATTTGTATTGTACTCAATGTTTATTAAAAATGGCCATCCATCACTTTTAACGTAACATTATCAATTCGGACGCACTGACTACAGTATGATTAATGACGCAATGATCAAGATGATCGATTGATATATGGGAATTAACATTTGAACGATCAATATTGGGATAGAATTAATAATATTATGTTATTTCGACTTTAATTAATAGTAACGATGGAAACATCACCAAGAGCGAAGGAAAACTCTACGGAATCTTACCCCGTACATTAAATAAAGTATCAGAGGTGCGAGATCCGAGATTGAACCCGCTTCAGTCTGTTTCTCAAGCGAGCGTGTCACGAGTCACCATTAGGCTACCGCTGCTAACTTACTGGTAACTTTTTATAATATGTACATTGCACAATGGACGTAAGTACGTACATATGTACGTGAATATTACTAAATAAGACGTACGAATATTACGTAACTAATTTGTGGAGAAAACATAAATTCATTGGTCTTGTTTTAGACATCAACACCGCATTATTAAATAAAACTATCTTTTCGGATTATTTCGCGGATTTATTTTGATTTTTGGTTCCCGGTTTTGGTTTATAACCATAAAGAAAAATATAAAATATAGTATTTTCTTTATGGTTATAAATATAATAATGGCAACACTAAATATAGATTACTAATTAATATTTTTAAAATTGTAATAATTATAAAAATAATAGCAAAAATTAAATAAATAATTTTCCATATTCAATTATAATTAAAATTATAAAAATGTTTAAAGTTAAAATATTGTAATGTAATTGGTGCAATTTTCATTTTGTTGATTGTGGGTAGGCTGTCTGTAACAACTATATCTTTAAGACATGTAACACCTCAGTCTCTCCCGTGACCATGGATGCTGTAAAGCATTCGAAACGTCGGGAACCAAAAATCAAAATAAATCCGCGAAATAATCCGAAAAGATAGTTTTATTTAATAATGTCAAACATTCGCGTAAATCTAAGAAAGTATTATATCAACACCGCACTTTAGTTGTAACGACCTCGGGAATACGTCTATTTTCCTTAATTCCCTCGTTGGAGGAATGGATGTACTAAATAAAAATGACTGATATACTGATAAACTTGTGGATCTAATCCCACTCAGGATAAATTTTTATATTAACTATACAAAATTATAAGTCCGCCCATTTCTGTTCCATTTCTAAGATTTGTATGATTTTTTCATTATTTCGTCGAAAATCAATCATCAGAACTCGAAAATAATTTCATTTTTTCTCAGTATTTAAATACAAAATCTCACGACAATTGCTATGTAGTTAGGATTTCATAAATTGTGAATAATTTAAACGTTTTATTTAACCATTAATAATACTAAACTTTTTTTTCGCATCTGTTTTGTCTTTGCCTATTTATATACATTGTATATAGATAATAATCGAACGTGTAA